TCTGAACGGCCCTTCAGCAGTTGTTCCAAGACAACGTCAATGCTCACACCAATCTACTCCACACCGAGCTCAGGATTACGGTACAAGGCGACTCCTCCCTCGGTGTCTATTACCAACGCCTCAGGTCCATCGCCGACGAACTACGTGAACTTGGTGATCCCGTTGAAGACCGGCAGCTTATCAACATCCTCCTCATCAGGCTCAGCGAACAGTTCGACAAGCAGGCTTCTTTCATACCCATGATGCGGCCCTAGCAAACCTTTGCCGAGGTGCGCTCCATCCTCCAGTGGGCCGGCCGTGCTCAAACCAACAAGGACGCTCGCCCTCAGCTCTTTGCCGCCATTCTGCATGGTCCGGCACCCGCAGTGCCCCCTTCACCAGCGATGCCTTCTTCCTCGACCGCGCCCGCTCCACCGCAAGGCCGGCGTCCTAGCCCTAATTATCGTGGTAAGAACCCCGTCTACCGACTGCCTACGACGCGCTCGGTGGCCACTCCCTCACCGTCGCCAGCTCCAAGTGCGCCACCAGAAGCTATGCCTTAGCGTCCTCCACATGATCCCTGAACGGGGCTCGTCCAAGCTTGGCCCATGCCATGGTCCTCTCCGGCTCCCCTCGGCTCCCCACCGGCTTACAACGATGCCTGGCAGCCCGCTGTGCGGCCCCATACTGGTACCCCAGGACTCCTCACGCCTCGCCCGCCGACTCACGCCTACCATGCTCCTCCATCATATGGCGCTCCCTACTACGCTGACGGCGGCCACTACTACACCCCACAGCCGGCCCTGCTGCCATCGCCGTCGTACCAGCCGACCCTACTGCCATCGCCTCCACCGTCGGCTCTACTGCCCTCGCCGCCGTACCAGCCGGCCATGCTGCCTACACCGACATCTGCTACACCGCCAAGCTAGGACCAAGCCGCCTTCATCCAGGCCATGAACAATTTTGCCTCCCAAGGCAACACAGGTACGGATTGGATTTTCGATTCCGGTGCTTCTAGTCATATGTCTGCATCTAGTACATTTCTCTCCTCTTGCACTTCACCAATTTTTAAATTCATCACCCTCAGTGACGGTTCTTCTATACCCATCTATTGTGTTGGTCAGGCTCAACTTCCCTCCACCACCAAAACTCTTCTTCTTCGTGATGTACTTGTTGCTCCTGCCCTTATTAAAAATTTAATCTCTGTTCGTCAATTCACATGTGACAATCTTGTTTCTGTCGAATTTGACCCCTTTGGCTTATCTGTGAAGGATTATCAGACCAAGGTCGAGATCGCGCGGTCCAATAGCTCTGGTGACTTATACTATTTCAATGGTGTTCCTGCCGTTTCCTCTCCAACCTCCATGATGGCATCTGTTGATCTCTGGCATCGGCGTCTAGGGCATCCCAAACTTGCAGTTTTAGCATCTATTCTTGGTGAATTTACTATACCTTTGTAATAGAGATTCTCACGATTCCTCCGTTTGTGAGTCATGCCAATTAGGCAAGCATGTGTGTCTTCCTTTTAATTCATCTAGCTCTTCAAGCACTTAGCCCTTTGAATTAATACATTATGATCTCTGGACATTGCCCATTACTAGTGTCTTTGGTTTTAAATACTATCTTGTTATATTAGATGATTTTACACACTCTGTCTGGACCTTTCCTCTCCGTAACAAATCCGATGTTCACTTTCCCTTTCTCAATTTTCAGCGATACGTCTACGTGCACTTCTTTCTCCCTATTCGCTTCACACAATGTGATAATGGTCGTGAATTTGGTAATGTTAAAAATCGTACCTTCTTTCTTAACCACGGCATTCTTCTCCATTTTTCTTGTCCCTACACTTCTCCTCAAAACGGCAAAGCTGAACATTCTCTTCGTACTATAAATGATATTATTCGTACCCTTCTTCTTCAATCTTCCATGCCTTCCCAATACTGGGCTGAGGCTCTCGACACTGCTACATATCTTCTTAATATCCGTCCCACCAAAGCCAATCCTAATGTCACCCCCTACTTTTCTCTGTTTCTGTGTCATCCAAACTACTCCGACATTCATGTTTTTGGTTGCCTCTACTTACCTAACACTTCTGCTACCACCGCTCATAAGCTCTCTCCCCTCTCTCTTCTGTGTGTTCTACTCGGTTTTTCGGATGAACACAAAGGCTATCGCTGCCTTGACTTATACATCGGTCGGGTTCTTGTATCTCGGCATGTCACCTTTGCCGAACATATCTTTCGATTTGCTCAACGTACTTCTCCATCACAACTCACTACTTCCCCACCTAACCACCCTCCTACCCATTTACCTTTTTATGCTCCTCTTCTGGAATCTCAATCTCCAAATACCTGTTCACCACCATCCCAACCTAATGCCCCTACACTGCCGACACCCAATCATAACCCTCCACCTTCGCCACCTGCATCATCGCCCATACATAACAATGCGCCACCATCCCCTCTCACACCATCCCCCACACATGTTGATGCACCACCATCCCCTCCCACACCATCACCCACACATGCTGGTTCATCACCATCCCCTCCATTGTCCACATCATCCGCTGCGCTGGACATCCTTGTTGCTCCTCTTCCCATTCGCGTTGTTCCCACTATTCCCTCAGTCAATGACCACTCTATGCGCACACGTTCCAAATCAGGTTTTCGTCAACCCTTAGATCGCCTTAACCTTCACGCCACCCTGTCCTTGTCCCAAGTTCCCAAATCTTCCAAAACTGCGCTTCTTGATCCTAATTGGGCTGTAGCTATGCAAGGAGAATATTCGGCCCTTACTGAAAATAATACTTGGCAGCTTGTTCCTCGTCCTTCCAATACCAACATTGTCTCCGGTAAGTGGGTGTTTCGTCAGAAGTTTCACTCCGATGGTACTCTCTCTCGCTACAAAGCATGTTGGGTATGTCGCGGCTATTCCCAACAACATGGTATTGATTACGATGAAACTTTCTCTCCTGTTGTTAAGCCTAGTACCATATGCACTGTTCTCAGCCTTGTTGTCTCCTCCACCTGGCCTATTCACCAATTAGACGTAAAAAATGCCTTCCTTCATGGTTCTCTCCAAGAGACCGTCTACTATCAGCAACCTCTTGGTTTTGAAGACCTTATTATCCAAACCATGGTTGTCTTCTTCAAAAATCTCTCTATGGTCTCAAACAAGCTCCACGTGCATGGTTTCAACGCTTCTCCTCCTTTATTCAAACCATAGGTTTTGTTTCCTCTATTTCTGACGCTTCTCTCTTTGTCTATCATCATAATTCTGACATTGCATACTTACTTCTTTACGTTGACGATATCATTCTTACTGCTTCTTCTCAAACATTTTTGGACCGCGTCATTACTCATCTCCGGTCTGAGTTTTCTATGACAGATCTTGGTCTTCTTCATCATTTTTTAGGCATTGCAGTGATTCGTGATTCGTCGGGTCTGTTTCTTTCCCAATGTCAATACATCCTAGATCTTCTCAACCGTGCTGGTATGCTAGACTGTCATCCTTCACATACTCCTGTCGACACTAGTTTCAAACTTTCTGCCAATGGTGATCCTTTCAATGATCCTACTCTTTATCGTAGTGTTGTTGGTGCCCTTCAGTATCTTACCATTACTCGTCCTGAAATTTCTTTTGCTGTCCAACAAGCTTGTCTCTATATGCATGATCCTCGCATACATCACTATAATCATATCAAGCGCATCCTTAGGTATCTCAAAGGTACTCTCGACCATGGTCTCCACATAAACAATTCTTCCCCTACCTCTCTCACCGCGTATTCTGATGCAGACTGGGCTGGTTATCCCGACACTCGACGATCTACGTCTGGTTTCTGTGTTCTTCTTGGTGACAATTTGATTTCTTGGTCCTCCAAAAGGCAGGTAACCGTCTCCCGCTCGTCTGCTGAAGCTGAATATCGTGCGGTTGCACATGATGTGGCTGATACGGTCTGGCTTCGTCAGTTGCTCTCGGAGTTGCATTGACCGCTTGCACATGCTACCATTGTTTATTGTGATAACATCTCAGCTGTTTACATGTCCGGGAATCCTGTTCAACATCGCCGGACTAAACATATTGAGATTGATATCCATTTTGTTCACGAGAAGGTGGCTCTTGGACAAGTTCGGGTGCTGCATGTTCCTTCTACGGCTCAATTTGCTGATATTTTTACCAAGGGACTACCATCAACATCATTTTGTAATATTCGATCCAGTCTCAACGTTGTCGAGCCCCCTGTTGATACTACAGGGGGATGTTAGACTATTACTTGCCTCTCAAGTTATCTAGTCCTAGTCATATTGTAATAGGTCTAGTTGGCTTGTAAATCTCTTATATATACTATTGTATGCGGCTGCAATAATCAATCAACAATAGTTCTATTCAATCTTACAAAAACGACTAGCTTCGGAAATTTTCAACCCTAAGCATCTTCGCCCTTCTCTACTTGTCACGAGAAACTGGAAGCATCGCCCATCAAGGGGTATAACCGAGAGAGAACGTGGATAGCAGACCCAACTGTATGGGCAACGTATCCCATGATGAGTGGATCAGAAATTCAGTAGATGAATCATGGTTGCATAGATGAGCATTTTACGAGTTGACAAATGAAACTGTAGTTGTTCGGTTGCTGGCTGGTGATTGTTTTTTGCTCCGATTATTAGCATCAACCATCTAACGCTGGCTCGCAGACACTGTAATGCAATGACTCATGTAGTACCAGGCAAAGCACGTCAATAAAAATGCAATCATCTCCAATAAAGCAGCAGCAGAATCCACAAGTTACCATGACCAGGCAAATGTACATTACTCAGCAAAAGAGCGGCTGAATTTTATACGACCAGATGTCAAACATTAAAAAGAAAACATAGTAAATCATTTTTCCCCTTCAACACGTCACATACAGACAAACCCAAGCTAAAATTATTCACTGCATATATCATGTGGTACACCAAGCAGATAACTGAAAGCCCACAGGAGCAAACTTAGTCCTTAGATGACCAAAATAACAGCATATTCTACACCTCCTTAGGAACATCTATCGGGTAGCGATTGATGCAATCTTGCCATGCCTTATCAGCACTTTTTGCTGGCTGGGTGCACTTTAACACTGCACTATTACACTTGTATCCAGAGCCAAATCCAATCATCCAAACTCGGTCCCCTTTCCTCATTCGGCCCTTGGCCTCACTGTACGCCAGCTCGTACCATACCGAGCTACTCGATGTGTTCCCAAACTTGTGAAGTGTCATCCTTGATGGCTCAACATGCTCATCAAGCAGGCCGAGGCTACGCTGCACAGCATCGATTACCGCTCGACCACCTGCATGTACGCACATATGCTCGAAAGCTTTGCGGAAATCAGGCACATATGGCTTCATGGTTCCACTTAGCACCTTTCGTGAGATGAACGAGAGCAAAAATGCAATCTTGACTGACAATGGGAGAATAAGCGGTCCAACCGTGGTGATGTTAGCCCCGAGAGCCTTGCCAGCGACATCCACAAGGTCCTTGGATAAATTGAGACCAAGAATTCCCTCGTCATCTTCCTCATAAGATACACATCGGTATGCATTGTCCTGGGAGCTGGTACAATTCCGAACTACGTTCGCCACCTCAAAACGAGCTTTGTCACTCGATGTTGAGAGGAGCACCGCCGAGCCACCCATGCGGAATAACATGTTGGTCAGCTGCATTTCGCGCTTCCTCCCAGTGTAGTAGGTCCCAGTCAAGATCTCTGTGGACACAACCAGCGCATGCGCGCTAGAGGGAAAGTTCTGCAGAAGGTCCTTCGCAAGACCCATGGCGATTAGCCCTGCGCTGCAGCCCATCCCAGACAGTTGCACGTTGCAAATATTATCTCGAAGCTTATATCTTCTCATGATCATATCAGCGAGGGACGGAGTTGGGCTGAAGATGCTGCAGTTCACGATGAGTATGGCGATTGCATTAAGGTTGATAGACGTCTTCACGAGAAGGTCATCTATGGTCGTGAAGATGGACAACTCCGCTTCAGCACGGGCTTCACTTAAACAGTAATATGGTGGGATATGATGATGGCAAGCCAGGAGGTAGGTCTCATCACCAAGGCCTGACCGTTCAGAAATACGGGTCAAGAAGCGCAGATGGCCGCTGTCGTCGCAGGACCGAGAATGGTGAATGTTCTCAATCCATGCGGCCTTGCTGATGCGGTAGTTCGAGTCAGGCCGGAAACACGCATAATCAACAATGTATACTGTGCGTGAACGGCTCATGAGGTACAGGAGTGTGGTCATAGTAGCTATGCACAGAAAAATTAAGAAGAGGCGGATGTTTCCGGAAGCATCATGCCAAATGAAAAATAGATTGTCTTGGAGTAGTACCATGGCGGGGGTGGCGGGGCGGCTATGAAAAGAGTGTGAACGTCTTCACTGCGACCTGGTACTGATACTGGTTAGATGGATCAATAAGAGAGAGTGGAGAGCTTATATTTCGTGTTTAGATTGCTGAGCACATATTTATAAATAAGCAAAAGATTGTGAAAAGTGGGCGTGGATTACAGAGCGGCTAGCATCAATGCTTGCACTGTTCTAACCACAAAGGGAATACCTGCAATATCCATTTATAATTAGGTCCACCCGTTGATTGAGGTTTTTCCTCCATATGGAACATACGACTAGCACTTTAACATGCGGCTATAGTTTTCTGGAAAACGTGCAAGTTACATTTTTTGTACACTAAACTGAGATTGCATTTTCCCCAAATCGATTGATAGATATTAGTAAACCCACTAATTCTTAGTAACTAGCTAGCACAGGAGCCCAAGCACATGCGTTGGCAACGTCTTATTTTGCCACTTCAGTTATTTTTATAAGGCTTCCTTTTTATCAGTGATTGCAATATTTTTGTTGATAGCTTACCAAGTTGACCACTTGGTATAAGGCTTCCTCTTTGTTCATACGATATCACTAGCAAAAGTGTCCGTGCATTCCAACAGGCGAAAAAAAGACACGGGCCCCTAATCCAGTAACCCAAGCACATGTGTCGGCAATGTCTTATTTTGCCACTTCAGTTATTTTTATAAGGCCTCATTTTGTTCATAGGATATCACTAGCAAAAGTGTCCATGCATTCCAATAGGAAAAAAATATACGGGCCCCTAACCCAGTAACCATGACTCAAAACCGTAATAGATCCACATCCTTTATTTTAACATGGCATCACATCTATGTTGCCGCTTATGCTTCTTCCACCCTCGTCAACGGTGGCCTAAGTGCTCACACAATTACAAGGTGTTTGAATGTGGTCAATCCTACGGCGTCTCTCTTTCTACATAAGATGAGAAATCCCCCCCCCCCCCAGCGCGAGGTTTTGCTGAGGCGCGTGCATGCATGATTATATATGATTTCTTTCGTCGCTAATCTGATTTTACCGAGGTGTTCATTTCCAATGCGGATCGGCACCGATATGAAAGAAAGATGGGTCATGTGTTATTGATTAAGATTGCCCCCTAAATAGCATTTTTCTTCAAATGATCATCATGTAAATAAACATCATATTCAGATTCCGCACATTTTTCTAATCAAACTCTATATATAACATGTTAAAATTGAAGTTCGGGTTTAAAAGATATCCATATTTTTCAAAAGACATGGACCTTGGGTTGATTTTAAGAAATAACAGGGGGTATCTACAAAAAGCAAAACATTTTTCTAAACTCACTTAAATCTGGACCCCGGGTTGATTTCAGAAAACAACATGGTTTTTTTTTTTGCAAAGAGCACAATGGACGGGCAGGAGTGCTTCTCCCTTTATTAATAGGCATAGATAGGAATAGGAAAGTGTTTGGAACTGAGGTGGCATCTATCTCAATTCTGATAGGCACTAGTAGGAAATCTCTTATAGGTGAAAACTATTAGTGGCACGGCGATAATTTCAAACGCCACTGGTATGTAGTAACTGGGCAAAATACTAGTGGTCTGCGACTTTAAAGAGAACGACACTAATAACATCTTATTAGTGATGTGCCATGTAAAGGGCACACCATTAGTAACTAGACTAATCTGTTCCCATGCTAATACGCATGCCGCCAGTGTAAATTACAATTTGTTGAAAAATATAAAAACTGCAATCTAAGATACCTAAAGACAAATCTGTTACATATATTCACATGTGTTTTGTGTAGTATCATACCATGTAGTCTTTGATATTTTGTGCTAGCATTAATATTATTTTGAATGGGATGAACTACTAAATCAACATTCACATCATGCATATATGATTCCGAACATACAGATTTGCATCCTCGCAAAAAATGAACATACAGATTTACATGCAATAATGTGAAGAGCTTATATTTCGTGTTTAGATTGCTGCGCACATATTTATAAATAAGCAGACGATTGTGTAAAGTGGGCGTGGATTACAGAGCGGCTAGCATCAATGCTTGCACTATTCTAACCACAAAGGGAATACCAGCAATATCCATTTATAATTAGGTCCACCCGTTGATTGAGGTTTTTCCTCCATATGGAACATACAACTAGCACTTTAACATGCGGCTATAGTTTTCTGGAAAACGTGCAAGTTGCATTTTTGTACTAAACTGAGATTGCATTTCCCGAAGTTGATTGATAGATATTAGTAAACCCAATAATTCTTAGTAACTAGCTAGCACAGGAGCCCAAGCACATGCGTCGGCAATGTCTTATTTTGCCACTTCAGTTATTTTTATAAGGCATCCTTTATTTAACATGGCATCACATCTATGTTGCTGCTTATCCTTCTTCCACCCTCGTCAACGGTGGCCTCAGTGCTCATACAATTACAAGGTGTTTAAATGTGGTCAATCCTACGGCGTCTCTCTTTCTATATAAGATGAGAAATCTCTCCTGCCCCTCGCGCGAGGTTTTGCTGAGGCACACATGCGTGATTACATATGGTTTCTTTCGTTGTTAATCTGATTTTACCGAGGTGTTCATTTCAAATGCGGATCGGCACCGGTATGAAAGAAAGATGGGTCATGTGTTATTGATTAAGGTTGCACCCTAAATAGCATTTTTTTTCAAATGATCACCATGTAAATAAACATCATAATCAGATTCTGCACATTTTTCTAATCAAATTCCGTATATGACATGTTAAAATTGAAGTTAGGGTTTAAAAGATACCCATATTTCTCAAAAAACATGGACTGTGGGTTAATTTTAAGAAATAACAGGGGTATCCACAAAAAGTAAAACTTTTTCTAAACTCACTTAATCTGGACCCTGGGTTGATTTCAAAAAATAACATGTTTTTTTTGCAAAGAGTACGACGGACAGGCAGGAGCGCTTCTCCCTTTATTAATAGGTATAGAGAGGAATAGGAAAGTGTTAGGAACTGATGTGACATCTATCTCAATTCTGATTGGCACTAGTAGGAAATCTCTTATAGGTGAAAACTATTAGTGTCACACCCATAATTTCAAACGCCAGGGGTAACTAGTAACTGGGCAAAATACTAGTGGTGTGCGACTTAAGGGGAACACACTAATAACATATTACTAGTGATGTGCCATGTAAGGACACACCATTAGTAACTAGACTAATCTGTTCCGACGCTAATAGGCATGCCGCAAGTGTAAATTACAATTTGTTGAAAAATATAAAAACTGCAATATAAGATACCTTAAGACAAATCTGCTACATATATTCACATGTGTTTTGTGTTGTACCGTAATATGTAGTCTTTGATATTTTGTGCTAGCATTAATTTTATTTTGAATGGGATGAACTATTAAATCAACATTCACATCATGCATATATGACTCAACTTTGTACTAACTTTAGTATAAATTTAGTAAAAAGTTGAGTCACTTATTTTGGGACCGAGAAAGTATAATCTTTTCAATATTTCAATTAGGGGCTACATACGGTGCAAAATGAGTCAATCTACACTCTAAAATATGAAATAGCTTGCCACAGAACTAGTTAAAGGTTGCTAAACTTTTAACGGTTTAAAAGTTATCAAACAATATGAAATAAACATGGGAGCATCTCTCTAATGTAATAAGATGATCCAACAAAGGGATTGTCAAAATATGCATCTATGTGTCGGCAAAAATAATAAGCATTTCAGCTCACTGCAACGTAAATGTATACTGAACTATTTGTTTTTTTGTCCAGGACACATACAGTCGTATTATTTTAATTCCTTCGTTGGATCATGTTATATTATAGGTGTGTTGGTTCAGTATTTTTTTTCAGAATTTTTGAGAACTTTTGCACCGTTGAAACCCTTAACTAGTTATGTGACAGGCACTTGTAGAAAAGAATCCTACTCCGATATATAGTGTTACTATTCATCATCCAGGGTGCAGAATAAGTTATTCTTCACCTGAGGTAATCTTACGATCGCTTCCTAAATAAATTACGTTTAGAATATAAATATTTACGTGCATATTGATTTAATATGTAAAATTTGGTATAAGAAAACAAAAATATAAGTTATAAGACCAGAAAAATCAACTTTTATGTATGTTTTACACTATGTTTTTACATTTCGTAATTTTACGTAACATAAAATATTTTTTACGACAAGTACATATTTTCTTACGTTCTCTTTTTATGTATGAAATAAGACCAAATTTACGAAACGTAAAAATACGGTGCATTGATGTCAAAATAGAGAGGGGGTGAAGAATAACTATTCCCCACCCAGAATGACTAATAGTGCGACCCTATATATATAAAATGAAACTTTGCTGGGGCAGTTGCAATCAGAGACGCACATTGCGCATGGGGATTCTGTCCCCCTCCTTCCCTCTTTTCATTTTCTCTATATTAGATGATCACTTGTTATTTCCTTATATAGACAAACTGGACCATTCATCACTGTTCATGGCTCAGGATGCGTCAGGTGTAGGCTGGCAAAATGGCAGGGGTGACAGTCCTCGGCCCACTCGTGCTCGGTGCCTAGCCCACGAAAGGTGCGTGACTGTTTTTTTATGCACGGACAGACGCTCTCCTCAATTCCACTCTTTCCCATGCACGAGAACTCTTTGCTTTCTCCTCTCTTTCAGATCCAATCGTAACTATCATCCCCCCTTTCCTCCTATGGCGTTCTCCTTTTTCCCTGGTTCTGGAGCGGACGACCGTGGGATCGAATTTGCCACTGCCCCCAGCCATCACCTCCTCTCTCCCCCGCCATGGCCAAAGCATCGAGGTCCTGCGATCTCTTCCGTCCCCTGCCATATCCACCAGCGCCCTCCTCACCCCGTCCCACTCCACGAATCCCTCTTCTCACTTCACGGTTGTTCCCTCCTTCTCACGCTAGATCTTGGTTCGACGACCACGGGATCAACACCGTTGCCCGACCAGTAGAGATGCATCTGTCAGGGAGGCTCT